CTACCGGTGTTCTGTAAAAGTTGGTCTACCTGAAAAAAGTTTCCCCACCAGAGGGGGCGCTCGTGAGACACAGAGGATGAGATTGTTTTTGAGTGGGATTCTGATGCCTTTATTACAGAGGAGGAACACCAGAAACTTTTAATGATACTGATGAGGGTGAGCCTGATTTTGAAGGCTTTTGATTCAGCTTCATCTACACTTGTTAGAGYCACATAGCTCTATCTGTTTGTTAAATCACACCAGTTAACAAATGAGCATTGAAAGTTTTTGTTGTAGTTATTAAACATTTGTTGTGTACCTTTTAGTATATACTGTACGTTGTTAAAATAAAATTAAAAACTGATACAACAGTCAAATGATAATTTTACTGATATATATAAAGACTGCAAAGGCTGGAAAATGCTGAAGTCCACATGAAATTAGAGGTAGTATGAGAATTAAAATTTTTATGCTGTTTTAAGATAAAAATAGGGGGTAATATACATGAGATCGTATTATGCACAAATAAATACGGTAGTTTTCCTAAATTTCTTTAAGTTTAAACACTGCTAAACAGCACACTGGTATTGAAACCAATAAGAGCTGCTACCAGAGTTTCTACGGGCAGTGTTTAGTGGGCGTATGTGACTAGTGTTCTAAAAATAGCCTGAGTGGAGATCCTCATTGCTGAAAAGTGAAGCTGTGGGGGCATTAGTCTTTTTTATATGTAGATCTGCCCCTCCTCCCCACTTTGTTTACTTTTGTTGCACAAACTGATTAAAATGTCGCACATTTTAAGATAAGAATGAAAAAATTACTGTAAATGTAATGAGAGTGCAATATTTATATGACAAGCGTCCACTTACTATAGTGAATGCTGGCTGTAATGAATGTTTGATTTAGTTAATAAATGTTTGAACGTTATATGATGAGTACTTAATGAAAAAGCTGTTTGCACAGCATCATATTTTATTAACATGTCTTTGCTTATGAAATCACTTATTTATTTGTAGAAAGAACAGAAGGCAGTAATTTAGATTATCATTGATGCTATAACAGGTGCAACTTTATCACATTGCCATGTATCATGCGATCATTTCATGTTTTTCCTATTATCTTGTTGTTCAAAGTTACTGATCTGCAGCCGATTGGCTTTTTTTTGTCTCCCATAGACTTGAATATAGATCACTAGACTGAGCTCCGCCCATACCGTCCACTGGTAGCGTCTGTGACAACATGGAGGAGCAGAAATGGCGTCCAAAAAGGGCAACAGCTCACAGCCTCCATAGAAACTAATAGATAAACAGCAAGCTGAACCGGATCTGTTTCACAGATCATCTGTCATGTTTTTACAATAAATTAATAATGATGTTAATTTCATTCAACAATCATGTAAAACAGCAGATATATACCAGAAAAAAAATATTTTATAGGTAACAATGATCTAAACCAGACCTGAAGTCAGCCTGTAACTTATATTTTAGCCAGTTGATAAATGATGACTTCAGCTAGTAATAAAGTATACTATATTTATTATTTCTTCTTACTGTCATAAAAATCAGAATATTTATATTTACCAGTCAACAGTTAGAAAATGCTCTCTGGTTATAGGATGAAACTTGTCTCTATTAGCTAACCATCTTCTTAACAGGTCAGGTTCCTCTAACAGAAACCTAAAAATACTT